TAATGAACGCCTGTGACCGTAATAAGATCGAAAATGTTCAGAGGGTTTTCACCCGGAAACTGTTCTCTCAAGCTTCGTCCAGTATTTCTTATACTCAGAGATGTCAGCTGGCGAACATGAAGTTTTTGTGGGTAAGAAGACGCGAAGCTGGCCTTTGCTTCCTTTTTCGCATCAACTCTAGCTCCAGTCTTCCGCACATTGACACTCTCACTCCGAGAGATCGGTCTTATGCCACGCGCAACTCCTGCATGGTGATTCCGCCGCCTCTTTGTACTACATCTAAGCGCTCCCTCTTCTTTGCTTCTAAATATGCCTTCCCTTGGAATAATCTTCCGCCTGAAATTAGATTATCGCCTAAGTAACTGGTATTCAAATCGAAATTACGCAAACATCTTACACCGGAAAGCATAAAGGTACTGTTAACGGTCTCATTCCCGAACACTCAGATTCTTGACTTCGAGAAGGGTCTTCCTGGGATTTAGTGGTAGATTAAGTGGTAACTCTTAATTATATCATTAGAAACCCCTGTTTTGTATTGGTTTCTAAATCCACTGCTATCACTCTCCACATAGCGATAATTTTCGCGGTTTTTGATGTCATCTCCCGCATTCCGACCTCATGCGGTCTGTCGACGCTCACGGCGGAACCCTCAGTATTCACAGTCTACTAGTAGTTCGCTCGTACCTCCCTTCCTCACTGCTCGGCTGAGCTCGAAGCGTGCTGTGGCCGATCGCATCTCGGTTGCTCTCGTCTGGCCTCTTTGACGCAGCGTACCAATCAGGCCCAGACGATCTCAATTGTGAATCCCGTATACAATGCCATTTGCAAGCCAGTCCTGTCTGACCCGCATACGTACCCCTCAAGACTGACATTTATTGCTATCCTGACGATGACCGACAACATTCCGTTATATACCGCCACCTACAGGCCAGTCCTGCTCGTTTTTTTCTGTTATTATTTTTATGGAGGGTTTTTTTTCTCCTGTAAAATCAATCCAACCATTTTTAACTTTTTGTAAGGAGTTTTTTTTCACCCCTCAATCATCATGTTTCTCAATGGACTTCTAATTCAGAAACTATGAATTGCATTTTGTAAAGATTTGGCCTACCTCGCCTAAAACTCGCATACAAATTTATTTTACCATGCTTTGATGGGACCCCGACGGGTCTTTAATATAAATTATCTGTCTATCTATCTATTCTATACTCATTTCGCAATCTGGGGATAACTAAGCCTATCTCGTTCTGCCTTCTGTGAAATTCTCGAAAGTGCAAAGCTGGTGCTTTTTCTACCTCTCTCTATGCCAAGGCTTATTGTTTCTTCTTATCTCCCTTTCTTTAGATCTGGAGTTGATTAGGGAAAAGGACTCGCATGTTGCATTGTATTTTCAAGCATTTACAATGAAACCTTCTTTGTGATTCCTTTGATAATGTCCCAATCGGCCAGGTCTGGCTCTGATTACCATGGGAGGACAGAAAAACATATGTGCACATGCAAACGATGCGTTTAATCAACAGAAAAGATTTACTACATAGGGCATGAGAACTTAGTCAAACTTGAAATTCTTCTCCGACTTTGATAGTAGATTTCTTAAAGGGACAGTTCGACTATCAAGTACGACGACGTCGACCCTTTGTCCCACGAAGTCGGCGCAGCACCAGGGACTTGCATGTGAATTAGTTTGTTGCGTGCCAGACTTGCACAGAGTATACCGCACTAACTGCTTCCTTACCCAACCGCCTTCGTTGCTAAGACAACGACAAGACGACCAGAAAATGACTCCAATGGCAATTCATTTATACGTACGGCAGATTTTTTTCCACAAGAAAGGCGCTGAGCTTCCATAAGATGGTTCGGATCCCACCTCGTTGAGGGTACTATAAAAACAGACTAAGCAGGAGCCATTGAATCTGACTTTCACTCCGCTAGTCACTCCCTCCGCACTCCCAAATGCACACACACAGTACTGACAGTAGGGACCAAGCTATGTCGTCACTTGGCAATCTCCGCACCCACGATTTCTGCAAAGTCGGGCTATGTTAAGGCGCGTCAGACTTATTATGGTGAAGAATTTACTGGTGCACCGTTGTGTGTGGATTACCCAGTTTCGATCTCACTAGCCCTCTCCTCTTACATGCAGCGGTCGGCAGTTTAAGTCTGCCAGACATCTGGTGCTGGAATTGGGCGCAGTGATTGACAGAACTTGACAGCCTGCCTACGCGTGCTGCATTCGGCGTAGTTCCCACAACATGCACTGGGCTTTTGTAAAGGAGTCTCGGATCCAACATCAGTAAGAGCGTAACAAAGCTCACATAAAGAAGGGGCTATTCAGTCTGATTCCTAGTCCTGCTGTTACGCACTTCATACACGCAGTAAAAACAACGAGAACAGAATAAACCCACCAGTTAGCAGCCCTCTGAGCCTTCCTCTCCAATACTCTTTCTCATGTGCTGCGTTTTCCCAGTCCACCATCACTATCTCTAGGTATTTTTCAACAATACGCATTTGACACCCTAATTTTATGCCTCGCCGCCACAACCTCGATCAAAATCTGATGTCCACAAAGTTTTTTTTTAGCCACGAGAATCGTAAAAGAGTCAGTGTGAATTCCTCCATAAACGCATTACTCTACAATTCTGTGCTTACTTAGTAGTCAGACGCCTCGACTATGGTGCCAGTGGGGAAACAAAAACCTGCAGGTCCCATAAGATTTAGTTTTAGGCACTGGTCGGCCTATGAAAATGCCTTCTCCAATAAATCATAAGTGTTTCCTGACCGTGGTGACTGATGTTAATGCATCAAAGAATGGTTAGTACTCGCTGCGAAGACGGAGTAACGTATCACTGATTTAATGCTTAAGATATTCAAACCCCATACTTGATGTGGACACTTTCTGTAACGATTTCAGTGGATAAACGGAAAAAAACAGTCAAAACTTATACGTTTCGTCAAGGCCGTAGGACTGCCATCTTAAGCGTTACCACTGCAATAGGGATTTGGCCAATTGGACTATCGGACCCATCTACCTTGCACTCACCCAGGTCGATAGGTAGAATACTGGACGCCAAAAAGCAATACAGTTCGGATCGGTTGTTGCGCAGCAAAGCAACCTATCCGTGCCATCGACTTTCTCAGCTGTTTTTAAAGCGCACCCATCGGTGCCGTTTCCCTCGCAATCACATTGTCGAAACACGTGATTATCCAGCATAGACTAATGAGTCCACTTTTATATGTTTAGCCAGAGATTTATGATCTGCACAACTAGTAGTCCACGCTGTTTTAAATTCTTAATAGGATGCTGCTTTCATTGTACCAAAAACATGCGTACCGATCTAAGTGATTTAATTCCTTCCTCTCCATAGTTGGCGATTTACAGGCATGAGACGTTTAGTAAACTAGCATAAGGAATTTCTTAAATTGATGCTTAGTCCCTCAGAAAAGCCGCATTTTTAAACGTATCCCTCAGCAGACTTACCTAAACAGCAGCCTTCAACTTAAAAACACTGATACAGTCAGCTAGCCCACAGTCTCGTGAAACTTTTATAGTCGACACGCCTCCCCTTGTTATTGTCAAGACGCGCTATACTACTTGTCGCAGCGTGATTCCACGATTCCCCCTGAACCGTACGTCAGACTTCCAAGTACGGACTTCTAGCAATTAAGTGCCTTTTATACATTGTAACCGGTTTTGCTGAAAATTTTCGGGAAGGAATAGTGCTGAGGGCTCTTTCTGCCTATACTACCGTCAATGCGTTGACAACTGACAACTGCATTTCCACAGAAATGCAGTTACTTTATGCAGTCACCTCATTCACTACCACAAGAAGCCTAGTTCTGTCCGACCCGCATATTTGCTCTTGTGAGCAACAGCTTTTCTCCTCAAAAGTTAATCAGATCATATTTTTTCACTGCTCGCTGGCCATTTTTCATAAGCATAAACTGAATACCGTACAGAGTCTGTCTACTTGCTCTAAATTCACTTGAAAGTTTATTTTTACTTGCTACGGTATTTCCGCAAAAGTATTCGATAACACAGTTTGTCAATTTATTTATTTTAATACTAAGAATAAATGCTAAATTTTATGGACTAACCTAAGGTGTGTTAGTTTTTTCCTTAAGCTATCGAATATCTTACTATTGGATTTATATTTAATTTTCTCCTGACACCCCAAGCTGACTTATGACGAACAGGTCTGAATAACTCTATCACGTTCTCTTCCCGAACACCAAACTAGTTTTCCTAACAGTAGGGTTTCAATCTGACAAAGTCATGCTACGTGGATTTCAGTCATCCACTAAGATTCGTACTTTACTGTGGACCTCTGGCAAAAATAAAAATCTAACAACTACTTTCGAATTTCTTCGGATAGCGTGGATGCGACCAGTACCGATCGAGCCTATCAGAACAGTGAAAAATACACTCCAGTCAAAATATGTCGTTGCACCAATTCGGTTAGTCCAGGGGGGTTAAGGGCAGACAACAAACCCTCATTCCCTTTATAATCCAGGGTTAAAGGGAGGCAATCGTGAACTCAGTAAAAATATGCTCAGTAAATGTACAAAGATTTCGTTTATTTTCTCCTTTCTCCTAATACAACTGAATAATTCGAATAATTCGCCCTCCGTATATCATCCGATTGCTCGTAAACAATATAAGTAATAAGACAGAGAAGATTGTGGAGAGATAATGAACTTGATTTTAAAACTAACTTTCCGAAATTTTCAACAAAAATTTCTCCAGTCGCCATTTTCAGGGTGTAAATAAATGTGCGGACAAAAATTTCAAAAATGAAACGTCGCGACTATTGTGCAGCAAGTCTAATAGCAATGTATGGCTTTCAGTTCCGCTACATGCCTGAAACCCTGTATTGAGACTGTGGTTGCCCTAAAGTCTTTGTTTGTTTTGACGCATGTGCCAGTACTTCCGCACTCTATGGGCGGTTATGTGACCCGGTTTTCGAAAGACGTTTACTGACGAGGATGAAGATACTAAGTTGTAGTTAACGCTCAGGCAAACTGCCATCATGACGATTGATGTTAGCCTTCTTCTTCTTCTTCTTCTTCTTCTTCTTCTTCTTCTTCTTCTTCTTCTTCTTCTTCTTCAGATTTAAGCCTACCTGTAGCCAAATGCTCTGTCATTGGACTCCGGCCCCACACTCTAGATTAATACGGAAAAAATCCTTACTTCCTTTTTTACCTGCCTAACTGACTGTAGGACAGTTCGCATGCACCATACCCGTAAAATCTCATCTTTCAGATGAACATTAGTTAGCATAAATATGTTCCGGCCTTAGTCACCAGCGGTTCCGAAACGAAATTCCACCACTTCATACGCAGTGAAATGTAAACTATTTAAATAGCAAGGGTAGGATAAGTGACTACCATATTAGGTGAAAAGCCTAGCATTTATAGTCGGAAAGTGTATATTCGTGAATGAACTGCATCCCGAGGCTATGCCTTCGCACAAAATATACTATACTCTAGCTACTACATTCATTTAAGTAGCAAGTATGCGGTATCTCACAAATAACTCCCCAATGGACTCTCCGAAAGATGAAGCTTTGTACATAAGGGCAGATGTCACCATTAAGCTATAGTCCGATATTTATTTTTTACGATTATGAAAAGTGCCTTAAGTTTGGAGAGTCTGCTGTATCCTCGGAGATTGCTGAAGGTTTTGTCGTATTTACGCGAAGGGGGAATGTTGGAGTGGAAGGCCCCGAAGCTAACTGGAGAAAATGTAATTTCCAGGTTGTTAACTTGCCGTTGAAATCTATTAGGAAAAAATCCAGGCCTTAAGTGCAGAGGTTTGGCGGATTACCAAATTAGCAGCTTTAGTGCCAACGACAGAAATGGGGACGCACACACCAGCGGTCGTCCAGACAGTACGCAAAATCATTAATACAGGGTTTATCAAGGCGCGCCGTCATGCAATGTGATGTTGACTGTTAGACTACAGCTACGCTTTCACAGGTTTTCCGCGACGTAAAGGCTCAAGAACTTTAAAAGATTGAAAGAAGATTTTTGTATTTATTTGTTGCTCTTGAAGTCGGACAGTCACAGTCTAGATTAGACAGATAAGCTGTGCCAGTCATCCGAATCACATGAACTATCCTGCTACCTGATCCAGGCATCATCTCAATTTTTACGTTCACAACTTCAAAGGCGAAAATGGGATTCAAATTGGGTGAGGGTAAAATGCATTGGTCTGTCATAATTGCAGAGTGGAATATGGAGGTTGTATTTCGCCCTGGACCACCTATCTGAAGCTCCCTCAGGCAGTCTCATAGCCATGAACAATCCATAAAAATATGCATAACCAATCAGTTTAAAGAGGGCTGAGACGACCATCTATGGTTTAACTGACATCTTAGGGGCCGGGCCCTGGTCCAGTCCACGTGGCCATTTAACTTTTATTTGCATCACAATCTGTTAACGGGCGCGTTCGTCGTGTAGGTCACCCGGCAGAAACAATCCTAAAAGCAAGCCCTTGTCGTATTTTTTTGGGATAAGAAGGTGAACGGGCCATCTGCTGGAAGCCTTGTCGTTGACCCTGCCGTATGGCGCAGTCCACCACTGCCAAAACGCCGGTTGTAACTGCAACCGTGAATACAGGCCTTTAACGGATGGCGGGTGTGTAAACCTAGTACGCAGTATCGCGATTTACTCAAAAGGTTTTCTAATAGAAACCATTTTGACAGTCTGTAAGTGTGAGTACCTTTGAGTGAGATGATGAGCTGGAGGGGGACGTCCCCTTTATGCTCCTCGGGAAGGCCACAGAATCGGGTCAGGGCCGTGTCCTGGGCTCTCGCCATGAGTCGGTCAACCGGCGATATTTAACCCGAGTTTTCCACTGCCAACAGTTCGGGCGAGCGTTTTTGCGGGTGTGGTTGCGCAAGGGACATAGGACTGCCAGTCGTCCAGTAAACGTTTAATCCTCTGGAGGTACTGTTCTGTAGTATGTTATTACCGACAAAGATAAGGGAGACTGGGATGGCCATTTCTGGCTTATTAGCCGTCGTCAGCCAGTCATACCCAACCCCTAAGTGTGGAACACCCGAGACTTGAACTCGCGACCTGTTAGTTAGAAGTCCACGCATCTAACCACTGGGCCACGAGCCCGTTGCCCTGTCAGTTTCGATCGGGAATATACAAAGGGAGGGGGGCGCTTACCGATCGTTCTTAAGGAACTCACTCGTTCGCTTGTGCCTTATGGGCTCTCTCTCGAGCCCAACCAGCATACCCAACCACGAAATGTGGAACACCCAGTGGTTAGAGGTCTGGACTTCTACGTAACAGGTCGCGAGTTCGAGCCTCGGGTGTTCCACACTTCGGGGTTGGGTATGACTGGCTGACGACGGCTAATAAGCCAGAAATGGCCATTCCAGTCTCCTTTTCTTTGTCGGGAATAACATACTGCGTATATCATGCGTCGCTGTGCGACTGCTGGTTGGGCTCGAGAGAGAGGGAGAGACCGTAAGGCACAAGGGAACGAGTGAGTTCCGTAAGGACGATCGGTGTGCGCCCCCTACCATTTTACTGTTCTGTCCAAAACGACGATAGAACCCCATTGTCCGCAGGCACGATGACGATGTCTTTGTCGGCCTTGAGTTCTCTAAGCGAATTACGCTCGACCTGGGAACGCACTTCCCGCGGTCTGTGGGCCATTAGGAGGGGCGACACTTGGTGTCGAATGAGGCTGTCAGTCTCCTCCGTTGCCTCCGTCTGACTGAGGACTGATTCCACCGCCGCAATCACGTTGAGAGGCTTGGCGTCAGCCGTGTTGAATGAAGCTTCATGCCTTAACACCTGCATTTGATCCTTCGTCGGCTCCTTTGACGACATCTTGCGCACCAGTCTGTTGTTTTTTTGTATGACGCTGGATTAGTCAGCTTCCTGAATTCGCTTTCCAGACGAAGGGCACTCCAATGGGCTTTCCGACTCCGAGACTCATAGCCGAAGCGATTCTACAAGGTTTGGCATCGCTGATTTTCCAACACTACAGACCGAAATCTTGGGCCCGGAATGTGGATAATATCTTTGTCGTCATCGAACGGGATCTGGTGTTGCAATTCATAAAACACCTCAACGCTCTCTTCCCGGACATTTAATTTACGATGGAGGAAGAGGAAAACAACCAACTAGCCTTTCTTTATATCCTAGTCTGCCGCAAAGATTGTGGTGGCTTAAAAACCAAAGTATTCAGCAAAGCGATAAACACTACGCAAGTACTGGTCTGCAACAGCAACCACCCGATCATTCGCAAACGCAGTTGCATAAGAATGCTATACCAGCCAGTAGGGATACAGCAGTGAATCGGAAAACAAGGTTGCTGAACCACAATACCTTCGACGGGTGCTTAGGGTGAATGGCTATCCGCGCAATTTCGTCAACCAGTGCTTGCTTAAACGAGACAAAAGACAAAATCCAACCGGCCCCAAATTTTGGCCAGCTGCCCCATACGTGAAGAATGCATCGGACGCCGTCAGTTGCCTTCTTACGCCCCTTGGAAGTGAAGTTGCACATAGACCGGAGGCAACTATAAGGTACCAGATTATGAGGCCGGAAGACCCATTTCCACGGCAGGAAACATCTGTTGGCGTTTGCCGAGTCTAATGCAGATGTAAACAAAGCAACTATGTCGGAGAAACCGGAAGACTACTCCGGACGCGGATGGCCGAGCACGCGGCAGTAGTGAAGAGGAACGGCGCCAGCCCCCATGTCGCGGCTTATTCGACGGGAACCAACCACCCCTTCAAGTCTGATAAAGCAGAAATTCTTGCTAGGGGCGGCACCCGCGTGAACCGCGAACTGCTTGAGTCATGGTTTTCCTGCCCTCTGACAATCAACAAACGCAGCGACCTCCCCTCTTCATATCCGGCGCTGAGGTTTTGGCTAGACAAAGTAGTTAGCCACGAGGGCAGCGTGCGGATGACCGTTGTTCCTGGTGCCAATAGCGTCAAGCCAAATCACCGAAGAGTCCACAAGAAAGACGAAATCCGGTAGTCAACGACTTGAATGCGTGCGACGAGCGTGGGAATCGATAATCTTGACTGGCACACAAGGGCATAACAACCGCACGGCAACTGAATACTGAAACACCTGGCCCGTCGAGCCGCGATGCACCCGGGAGCTGTCAACTGTGATAGGCATGTAGTGGCCTAGCAACTATACCCTATAAATATTGCAACACCTGGGCAATTTACCACCCTTATCTGACTCTGTTTCTGATGATGGATTCGAGTGAGAATCCGAAACGTCAGGTTAATAAAGCTATTGTTCCAGCAATCGTGTCTCCTTCTCCGTTACTCAAAACAGGTGAAATTTTTCGATGAACCGAATAAAGGAGTTCTCCAGCTTTTATACTTCTAGTGTGTCAAAAACTAACGAGAAGACGGAGATAAGTTTAAGTTGGAGTCTCAAGTGATCCACACTTGGGATAGGGTATGACTGGCTGATGACGGCTAGTAAGCCAGAAATGACCATCCCGGTCTCCCTTGTCTTTGTCGGCACCACGTCATTTATAAGCGTATACACCCAATTAAATACCCCCAATCATCAACAACTCAATTTCGTTCTCAAGTCAGCCGGCGCAGTACGAATTTTATCGGCATGCCTACATATATATACGACTGGAAGCGGATTCCTATTCCAAGGTCGCTAACACTTTCCAGGTCAACTGATTTTGCCTCCACACCAAGTTGTTTATGAATGTCGGATCGGTAAGGGTACTGGGTGTCATTGCCATCCGTCAACTCACTTCGTCACTAAGTCATTCGCAGTTCAACCTCCGTCTAGCTCTACGCTACTTTCTATACCCACACTCCTGCATGCTTCACTGGCCAGACCCCGGATCTGAGCGCAGACTCCACTGCGTTATTGGGCCTAGCAGACAGGATCGATGCAAGCGTAGGCGTGTTTGAATGTCCTTCTGCAGCTAACCAATGCGCGTAGGTGGTTATGAGAACCTTTACAATAACCTGTCATAGTTTGCGGATAAAAGGTGAGTACAGATGCCGATTGGTACGGTAAGGCTGAAACATAGCCATCTGGGTGCATTAAATTCGTGTATTATTTCTACTTATTTTATTTAAGTAGCTCGGATTAATGCATGGTAACTTTGTTGCCTTCGGAATTACAGATGCCGCTCCCACAACTAGCATACTATCCTAGATTACCCGCTTTTTGGTGGCTGGTCTTAGCACCGACCAGTTTCTTGCCCTGACCCGTTTGAATACTGCACTTTTTATGAGGTATCGTATAATAACTGATCATTGTGATGATGCATACCAGCTTTATCGACCCAATTCCATCGTTTACACCTGCCCGAGGAAGATACTTCACCGTTAGCAGACACGTCGGATCAATAAACGGAGTCGGCTGAGTGGTCAGCGCACGGAAAAAATTCAAAAACGCCATATGCGATGCAGGTATTTATTACTGGCAAGCAATGGAAGATTGGTGAAGCGTTGGGGCGGGGAGGCTGCGACTAATAGACATAGCCAGTGGGCGCCAGTGCGTACCTGCAGCTGCATTGGCAAGGACAGCAGCGGTTGGGACAGGAGCTGTAAACTGGGCAGACACTGCATCGTTTCAGGGGCATTGCGCCCTCTCCAGTTGGCACGCCTACGTCGCCTGCCTCGGCTCCGATCAGTATCTGACTGACGAGCAGAAAGACTGCTAGGAGACCCACTGACATGGTGAAGCTGATTACTTGGCCATGATTTCTGCAAATGCTACAGCATGCTTTTATGCGGGTGAATGTTTGCACACCGGCACACTGTACCAACCTTGGCAAGACATTGATACATCCGGTTGGTCTGAAATGGGTGGGGGGAGGAAGAGGGGTGATGTCAACATGTGAGCAAGATTGGAACATTTCGCAGTTTTCTCCTTTTCTGTGGGAGACCTGTGATAAACTATTCGTGACTTAACAACGGCTTAGCAGCAAATTAAACCATTCTAGGTCTTTACCCAAAGTCAACTTTCAAGAGTTATTGATCTAAGGCGGAAGGATGTGTCATATACACAGAGGATCAGTTTTGTCGCGGAAAACCTTTTTTAAAATGTCAGTTTTTTGCGTCTTTGCGCACATTCTCTTTTCAAGTTCAAGAACACGGTAGGGCAATACAAGGGGGCAGTTTTATTTTGACTCCGAAAGCTGTTCTGTTTTAGGCATATTAGCTCGTAATTCAGGGGTGTTTTGGCAGACTTCAAATGATTCACTTTGACCCAACTGTGAAAAACTCAATGTCTCGCTGGAATTCGGACCCACGACAGCAAGGGAAGGGCTGCACTTCCTTTCCTCCAGTCCGGATCAAAAAACCTTAAACAGACTAGTCCTTTTTATTTGAGTACAAAAGTTTAAGAAGACATTATTTTCAACTGAATGAGTACGAGAAAAGACATTTTTGGGCATATTTCCTGCAAAGTATATGTCTCGTTATCCAAAATCGGTGAGAAAATTCATGTCATTTAAGTAGTTAGTTTTTATAAGGTAGAATGTTTGCCAGCGGATACTAAAGTTAACATCCTGGCGTGACTGACAACCACACCTAAGTAATCCTTTCGGACTGAGAAAACTTTTCATTATTCCTGTCGGCCCTTCACGGGATAGCTTAGCTACGTTGTTTGCATTTAAAGAGCTAATGAAAATAAACGGGGAGTCGCGTGCTACTTAAGTAATAACTTATTTGTCAAGAGTGGCGTTTGCAGGCGGCCGGCATCCCTTCGTGACCGAAGCATCTTGAGATTATGCTGCACGATAATAAGTATTACAACCTCACTTAAGCAACCCATCCTAAAGAAGATACCATCTCACAATCTGAATAGCATTTCATGAGACTGCCCACCTATCGTAAGTTAAACATTCTAAGCAGTCGACTGAGTTGAAGAACTCAAATGAAGTTGTCTGTAAGATCAAAAATAATTGATTTTGTTTCACAAAGCACATTAGAGGTGAATGAGTGTGGTTTACGATGCACACTCACCGTCAGGCGAACCAGTGTTGCTTAGCTGGACCTCCTCATTGTCACCGACAAATTTTATGACGGTTCGTTTAACAGCCTGCAAGCACAGAGAGGTCATGGAGAGTTAGGTGAAGTAGGATGAAGCAATGGCGAGCCAGTAGTGGTTAAGCAGTCCAGCAGTGCTGAAGCATTGAGTAAAGTTTATCACTTGTTTCAGATTGCCTTCAATACAGAGAACAAAAATCTTAATTCAGATTGACCCAACTGTGAAAAACCCGACGCCTCGGTAGGATTCGAACCCACGCAGTAAGGGGAAGGCTTTAATGCAGCCAACGCTCTAACCGTCTGACCCACAAGATCCCATCGGACGACGCAAGTTTAATCACATCTGGGTCAAGTTTACCCGCCTGACCTACTGCCACGTCTGGAATCCACTAAATCTGATACAGTAAGCTGACTGCCCAGGCAGGATTTCCTAAGTAATGCATCTAGAATCCGCCAAATGACTACCAGGCTCACATACCTCAGAGGTGTTTTGGCAGATTTCAAATAATTCACTATGACCCAACCGCGAAAAACTCGGCGCCTCGGTGGGGTTCGAATATTAGCTCGTCTTGGCTAACAAGAAAACTGAAATCCTCTCCCTAGGAGTAACGTCAGACTTTACACACCGTGGTTATGTCAATGGGCTGTAGATGGGTACTCCCGTGTGGCACCCTCACTCATTTTAGATGCAGGCAGTTCTTCCCGTGACGCTGGGTCGTGCGTGGCACGCGTAGACGGGTCGTTTAGCTTTGTCAGTTGCCGTGCACATTCTGTCTTAAAGTTGCCTCTCCCTAAAATCGAAACGAATGAGAGATAACGGAGTCAGGTAGG